TTCACAAATACCCAAATATGTTTATTAACGCCAGCGAAATCTGTCCAAACACAATTAAAAGTGAGTCACGTTATTCGATGAAACGATTCACTGTATTTTAATTTACAACTGCAATCGACTACAGCCATTCAGTACCAATCACAAAATATGAGCCAACACGTATTTCATCATATAGGACGTTTTCGTCGGCGGTTCAGGATGCGTGACTAGACTCGGATAGACCACTCCACATTCGCGGAGGTGCGACGTGAACTATGACCTGATGGCACCCCTATCTCTCAAACACCCAAACACAACCACGTGGCCAAACTCCGCCTACCGGTAATGCACGAAAAGCATTTTTGTGCTCGGTGCAATGACGCTTTGCTTTACATTGTGATGGGTCGTGGATGAGTACAATGGAACATGGGATGGGACACGGTGGAATTGACTAGAAAGCTTCATAATGAGCCAACTTTGGCCCATTTCAGCCAGTTTGAAATTTCAATTCATCCGCAGATAATCCGCTATGAGCCGTCGACACCCCTTTCACACATTGACGCACAACCACGTGACCAAAAAACACCACCTACCGGTAATGCACGAAGAATGTTTTACGTTTGACGCAATGACGAAGTGCTCTAGGTCCTTATGATCCCTGGATGAATGCAACTCGCCAAAACGGTCCCATTGGGCCAATGGCAGTCCAGTTTGCTGAATATAAACCCCCCGTTCTCGAGCAACGGATTTCGATTGGTCGTTTCTGTGTGTTGAAAATAGGTCACATTTTGTGGAATCACATTTCAATCGTCCATATAATCAAGCAAACAACGTTATTTCCTTCAAATGCCACATTTCTTAAGCAAAGTAATAAGCTCATTTCAATACTGAGAATTCGACGTCGGGCAAGTATACGTGGCAGGTGGTGACCGAGAATGTGCCCGCTTTCTACACTGCTCCTCCACGCCGAAAGCCATTCTTCCAATCGAAGAAGAAGCAGCAGAAAGTGGAGTGTAGTGTGGAGGAAGAGGTTGACAAGCACGAAGTTGAGGAGAAGACCCACAACTCACCTGTCAAATCCACCAACTCAAGGCGCCGTCGTCGGTGTCGCAGGAGAAAACCACTTGCAAGTTTGTCACAAAGCGGAAGTTGACTTAGATCTCAAGCATTCATTGGTTGCTTCGGCTGTGCTGCATAATGCTGCTACTGTGCTATTAATAGACCAATAGGATCGGCTCTTTCGATGCAGCACAACTCGGGTCAAGGTCGAACATGTAGCCAGGCTGGTTCGTTTTGGACGCAGGCGATGTAAGCACAAGTAGATAATGAATTCATCCAGCCACGAATGTGAAAAAAGTCATTAGCCTCTCAACCCCACCTGAGGCTTGTGTAGTGGTCGCGTCAACAGTGCTTGATTCGTCAACATTGGAACGAGGAAAATCTAGCTTCTTTATCAAGGCCACCAGTTCGGCGCATGAATATGTTTACATTAATTCGTGTTATAAATATCCGAGTATTTTGGCTAAAAACCAAACACTTCTATGTCTCTTAACTCCTAGTATTTCTTGCCCTTTTGAAATCAGGAGGTAGTGGGTTGAGCTGGGGCCGCGCCAACGGCGCCTGATTTGTCAACATTGTAATAATGAATGGCCCTAAATGTTTTCTGTCAACTTTGGTATTTCATGTAATACCTCAAATAAATGTAATGGGTTTCAATTTGTTTAATAAACGGTTGAATTCCACAGCCAAATGCAGTCACTCGGATGATGATCATGACATCATGAGTGTAAATTCTACAAATATTTACTTTTCGAATAGCACATATTATACATTGCAGGTGTAATATAACCATCGACTCTGAAATAGTTGCAATTTCGTGCTAACGTTGTATTTTATACGTGTGTGCCTGAACCAATACGCTTATTTTATGGAGTCGCTATCCAAGCAATCACGAAATCATGCGAAACACAAGTTCAACAATTGGAAAAGTTGCCATTTCACAAAAGTCCCACAATGCTTGAACTGAATCATTAGCTCTGTTGTGGAAATTAGGGTTGGCAGTGTGGTTTTAGATATTTCAGTGACTAATTACGCATTCGTAGCTGGATGAATTCATTTTCAACTCGAGCTTGCATCGCCTGCGTGCACCTGAAACCTGCCTAGCTACATGTTCGACCTAGACCCGAGATGTGCTGCATCGAAAAAGCCGACTCGGAGCACTCTCGTTTGCATCAACTGCAATCACGTTTGTTTAAAACTACCATTAATTTTAACTCGAGCTAGCTAACTCACGAAAACTGTCAATGCTGAAATGGTCCGCGATTAGCTCAGTTTGACATTTAACGTCAGATCAACCGTGTTTTTAACCATGGTCAGTGGAATTAAACAAGGTCCCAGCAAAGTTGAATACATCCAGCACATTTCAATGATTCACCGGGTTTCATTGCAACGGTTTTCGTGCATTACCGATAGGCGGGGTTTTGTCACGAGATTGTGCATCAATGTGTGAAAGGGGTGTCGACGGCTCAAAGCGGATTATCAGCGCAAGAATTGAAATTCCCAACTGGCTGAAATGGGCCGAAATTGGCTCAATATGAGGCTTGCTAGTCAAATCAATTGTCGACCATACTACGTTCCATTGTATTCATCCACGACCCATCACAATACATAACAGTGCGTCATTGCATCAAACGAAGAATGGTTTTGGTGTATTACCGGTAGGCGGGGTTTCGTCACGTGGCTGCGTCCGTAAATACGTGTGAGAGGGGTGTCAACAGCACATAGTTCACGTCGCACCTCCGCGAATGTGGAGTGATCTATCAAAGTATAGTCATGCATCCTGCACCGCCGACGACATCCTCAGCTCATATTATGTGAATGGTGCTGAATGACTGTAGTCGATTGCACGAAATACGTCCATTAGGTAGTTAGCTTGCTGGCTGTCAAGCCTGCTTCTATGTGGTAATTGGTGTGTAAGGAAGTCATTTCTCAAGCATAAATCATTGCGTTTTCGTGCATTGTTTGTGAAGGGACATCGTACCCGATGTTGGCTGTCACCTACTTACAACAGCCTGGGATTTTACGAATGCACGCTCAGCTAACAATCCCGACAACCAAACTTAATTTCACACTCATCCCGTTCGCGTCCACGTCAGACAGCTGACGTCCGAGATTGGATTTGGTCATGGCGTCGTGGGCGCTTTTTTTTCCATACTCATTCTTATCGTTTTTGGAATGTTGGCCAAATTGCAGTTGTAAATAACAAAAACAGTTGATCGTTTGCATCGAATAACGTGACTCACTTTTAATTGTGTTTGGACAGATTTCGCTGGCGTTAATAAACATATTTGGGTATTTGTGAATGTCACGCATGTCGGTCAATTGACTCAAAATGCTGCCTGTTCGTGAGGTCAGATTTATTGCAGAACGTGGCCTCACCTGTGACTAAGGTGGCATGTGTCGTTATTCTGACATGTTTTTCGCTTCCACACCATCGACCGAGTGCCGTTTGTGCACGTTCAGCATCTGTACACACCGGCCGCGTTACCAGGAGGTGCTTATTTTGACGTAGTAGCTGACGGTATGCTGCTGAAATTGCGGATTATTCAATCCCTCTTAAAGAGGTGAAGTTAGCACTTGCAGCAGGACGCATGTTGCCACTGGTGGGCGTTGCACAATTGGAAACAGTTAATTTGGCATTGTGTTGTGCTTTGACATCATGAGACCACGTAAGAAGCGAAAGGACTTGGTGGTTTCTTGACAGAGAACTATCAAATAAATAGAATATGTTTTCTCCTTGTTTTTCGGTAGTCTGTGTGCATCTTACGGCTGCTAAGCAAAGCTCCATCTGATGAGGCAATTCGGACAATTCATGTGTCAACAAGTCTTTGCTTTTTTTAATTACTGCGATTCTGTACTTGGTTTAAACGGTAAGCAAGACGTTCCGATGGGGACGAGGTGGTTGATTGCATGGGAATGGGCCACAGTTGGTCCAGTATGACCTTCCGCATAATTTGTATGCATTTAGGATTCAAAAATTGTTTGGCACGTGGTTCTGCGTGAATGAGTGAGAGGATGGTGTCGATGGCTCATAGCTCACGTCACACCTCCACGACGGCAGAGCAAGCTATCCAACTTTCGTCATCTATTCTTCGTTGACGACGTCCTAGATGGAAGAACACGCGTGAGCATACAGTTTGGACTTGGCGATTAATGACTGTTGTTGATTACACTGAAGATTTCGATTTGTCATGAGGCCTACTTCCAAATCGAATTCGGTTGAGTTGAAAATACCTAGATCATTTGTAGTGAAAAATGATCGATTTCTCGCAAGATTTTAACATGTTTGAATGGTTACTCTGATTGATCAATGTTTTAACACACCATTTGTCCTTCAAAATAACGACATTAGGACGATGCTGAATGCATGCGCGGAATCGATGCCTAATTAACCAATGAAATTTCGACGAGGTCTGATCCAAAGTCAGCGGCTCAGTGCCCGCCACAGGTACACGTTTCCGTGGTATGGAGCTAAACCGATCTGCCAATTAATAGGTCAGTTGAAAAATCCAAGCTACGTTTAGCAGATGTACCTGCACTAACGTCAGCCGGTGTGCGCAGATGCTGAACGTGCTCAAACGGCGATATGGCGTGTGGTACGGAAGTGTGAAACACACCACACTCAGGTAAAATACGCACGTTACATGTGAAGTCACGTTTAGTGGTAAATCAGATCAAATATGACCCCGCATTTATTGAAATCAGCTTAGAAATTAGGCCAAGCGCTCAGAAGGCAGACATATATTTGGAACTCGTGCTGAAAATATTCGATGATAACGATTTCCACGTCGGACTATTAACCCTTGCGAATGCAGTTATTCAACACCAACTACGAAATATATCTTGACGCGTTCTTCACCACGCAGGATATCCTAAGTGTCCGACAGGGGAGGAGAAGTGGATTAAGTGGATCATCTTGGCGGAGGTGCGACGTGAGCCATGAGCCATCGACAGCTCTGCAGCATTAACGCACAATTACGTGACAAGACTCCATCCACTGGCAATGCATGACCACCTTTGATGAAACACCCTTGACGAAGTGCTGCAAAAGGCAACAAGAGCTGAACTAAATTATCTCTAAGTGCAATTAGACCCTACGGGAATGATGTGGATAGGGTGGCCATTAGAAATGGCAGGCCAGTGGTCTGAGGCATGTGTAGTGTTCGCGTCGACAGTGCTTGATTCGTCAACATTGGAACGAGGAAAATCTAGCTTCTTTATCAAGTCCGCTAATCAGACGCATGAATTTGTTTAAATTAGTTCGTGTCATAAATACCTGAGCATTTTGGCTAAAATGCAAATTCTTTTCAAGTCGCTAAACTCCGAGTACTTTTTGCGCTACTAAAATCACGAACTCGCGGTTTAAGCAGGGGCTGCATCAACGGCACCTGATTTGTGCACATTTTGTAATAATGAAGCAATCAAAATATTTACCGAATACTTTGTTATTTCATGTAATACCTCGAAGAAATGTACTGAGGTTAAATTATCTTCAAGAATTGTGGATTTCCACATGAGAAGGAAGTCAGACGAATGATTGACGTGAAATCGTAAGTGTAAATTATATAATTGTTTAATTTTCGAATGGCTTATATTATACATTGCACGTGGAATATGACCACGTTGCAAGTTTTGTTCTTTATTCGCGTGTGCCTGGATCAACACGCTTATTTTATGGGGATGCATTTCACGCAAGTACGAATTCTAGTAAAACACAATTTCAATAATGAGAAAAGTTGCGATTACGCACAAGTCCCACAGTATTTGAACAAACTCATAATCTCTGTTGTGGAAGTAAGGGTTGGTAGTGTGGGGTTTGGGAACTCAGCGACTTGTTTTAAATTCGTGGCTGGAAGAATTCATTATTTGCTCGAGCTTGCATCGCCTGCAGGCACCTCAAACCTCCCTGGCTACATGTTCGACCTTGACCCGAGTTGTGCTGCATCGAAAGAGCCGATCCTATTGGTCTATTAATAGCACAGTAG